ACAGTAATGGTGTTGGTTTCATCCGATTCATAATTTGTTGGCCAACGCGGTTAATTTGACGCATTTTAAGATAAGAAGCAAATGGTATTGATAAAATGTAATAAACATGATATTTTTCTTGTGTGTGTATTTTTTTTGCTGTGACATAACGAGTCATAATATCGCAATGAATTTATAATTTATTAACGAAAAAAAACTCAAAAGATCGTATCAAGTATTATTCGTTTCGATTCATTTAAATCGACTTTAAATGAATTTACTTAATTAAACAATTAATTAGCCTAATTTTTTTTCTTATCTGTATAATAAACCTATTGTTAGTAGTTAGATTTTTTTTGTGACAACATTAATTTCTTCGAGGGTAGTTGAGCTTGGCCAACAATTTTTGGGCTACCATCTTAAAGTCTATTTTATATGAGAATATATACTATAGATACGTATCGACACGTATAGGGCGTAAAAAAATAGGCAATAATGATTAATTCAAACAAAATGTATACTTATTCCAAGTTTGTTTAAGGTACATGTTTGATCAACTACATTAATGCTAATGAATTCCAAAATAGAAATGAACATATGAAATTATTTTCGTTGTAATAAAATAAACTCCGTCTCAAAATAGCTTGGAATTATCCAGATCATCACAAATACATTTTGGTTTCATGAATTTTAATAACGAAATGTAAATTAAACATTTCTTTTTAGAGCAATAAAAATAATGTTTGTTACTCTCGGATGCGGTTTTGTGGTATTTTATATTTAATGAAACTGTTGGTTTGGATTTCATTTCATTATCTTCGGCATACGTTCCCAAGAAGTATTTCATTTTCTTCACAGCCCAGTAGTTCAATTTTGTTGATAAATATGTCAATTATTTAAAATTATTGATATCAAGAACGGAAAAAATTACATCTATTTATGATTAGATTAATAATTAAAACTTTTAGATACATTACTTCGCCATTTTAGTGTTAAATGGGACTACACAGCTAATGACTTCACTATACGAGCTCTACAATTTTTTTATCATTTTAACCTTCAAATTCAATTTATTCATGTAATAAAGAAAATTGCAAAAACACGTATGAAGTTTTTAGCAAATAATTTTAATTGTGACCCCCTTCTCCCGTACTAATATCCATTCTTATACCAGATCGAACTTTTATTAGGTTGTATATGATTCTTATATCAGTTATTTAATAATTTAGTTTTGTGTTCAAATAAATTAAAGGAAAATTGTTTACATTTAGATCTTTTTTTAAAAAAATTCTGCAGAAGGACTGAACAAAAAATGTTTTCATTCCAGGCCAGACTCCATTTAATTGTGAAGTACATAACTACAGCTTTTTTAAATTTAATATTATTTATTTTTTAATGTAGTTTCTAGAAATAGGAGAATTTATAATCTCCCTTCAAATCACTAGTGGATCCAGGATTTAATTTTTTTTTTTGGGGGGGGGGAGGAGAGGCTTCATCATGAAAGCTTTTTTTTTCATTTATATATAAAGATAATTACTTTGGGAAAAAAAGAAAGATACTATCTATATGAAATGGTATTTAAGTGATTCTTGAAGTCCTATTAAATGTAGGATTACACGAACAATAATACTTTAAGAGATAATTTTAAATACTTTTTTCCATAAAATAAGGGTACATTTTACCATTTTGGGAGGGTATGGGGGGGGGGGGGGGAAGAGGGAGAGAACCTCAGCCCGAAAGCTTCCCCCCGTAGATCCGCCTGTGGTTCAAATATAACTCAATAACAACACAAATATTTTAACTCGGAAAATTAAAATCGAACGCAACAAGACCGCAATTAACAAATTAATCTCTTTGAAATAACAATTAAATAAGGCTGTAATAAATAACTGGTCGTAGTGAGTTAATCCAACAAGTATCTCAGGAAATCTAGATAAATTCTTTTTATGGGATTGAGTGTATCATTAGATAGGAATTCCATATTTGAGCAGTGGTTTCCTACGACACTGATGCAATCTTTAAAACACAGAAGGATACGAAGATAAATACTAAGGGTTTTAAACGATATAAACAAAATTTTCCATATAAAAATTACAACTTACGAAAGTGAAAAAACAACGGTAGTCTAAATCTGTGTCATCTGGTAAATATAATATAGTTCGCAAAACATTTCTGTCTCTATGATTAATTTTAAAAATTTAATTCCCGAAAAATAAACTGATTCTCATAATGTTGATGATATCAACATTCTTTGATAATTAAAAAAAAATGTTAATAATTTTTTTTTAAATGATCGCTGTGTGTACAGACACTATTTAAACAAAACATTCAGGCAGTGTTACCAACCTTTTCAATGCCATATCACATGATATCGATATAGGGAAATGATAAACCGGAAAAGTAGTAATTTAGTTCTTGGCGTATACCATAGTTTACATTTAGTTCGTTATTGCTAATAAAACGCTATTCAATGAACCTCGAATGTTTGTTCCTTAACTACCATCGTTAGCATTTACCCATTCACCATTAGTAAGTGAATAACAAACCAAGTATACTCAACATCTTAATGCTTTGAAAAAAAAAAATCAATACGCTTCACAAACTAATTAGCATTGCATGACTGCAATATCATCCGACTCATTGATGGCATCGTTAAAATAACCAACGTTTCACTAAATAAATACCAAATTCTACCAAACGTAATTTAACATTAATCATGTCCAAAAGATAAAATATTATTGTAAGATGACATCGGAATTAATAGTCCGCCTTAAAACAAAAGTTTTCAGAATTCTCCACAAGTCTAAAGGTAACTGAGTTTTCAAAACCCGTCTGCACTACAGACTGTCACGGAATCGTCGTCCATACCAATGCACCAGAGGAAATAACTTAAATGTCACCCATTGCTAATGCTAGAAATTAAATCAGTTAAAAAATATGTCCTTTGGACAGTATCTCACGTTGTAGAAAAAATCAAAATAAAATCGCGATAGAATTGGAGGGGAAAAAACCAATTTAGAATAGAAACCGATCACTTGCCAATAGGGTAAGCCTTGATAGATATGAACACAACTCGGGCTTTACTAGAAAGGATTCTGGTTGTATGTCGGTGGAAACTTTCTATTAAGTGGGGATGAATCGAAAGGATGAAGCTGGGTCCGGAGATCTCGTCAAAAGAGAGAAGGGAGGGGGCTAGAGGGGAGAGAGAGAGAGTAATCGCTCACTCCGCCAACCCTCCTCCACTCTCCTTAATTATCTCGAGCATTTTTTTTCCCTTCGAGATGGCAAACAGTCATGGCGGTGATATAACGTAACTGGATTTTACTATATAAGATGAACAATACAAAATATTAGAATTCTTACAAAACCTATAGATATTTGTTTAACTAAAATGGTTACGGAGAACTGGCAATTCTTCAACATTTAGGTTTAAAATGAAATTGCTTATTTTTTTTTTATCGAGGAGTAGAAAAAGGAATCCTGTTTCAAATTGCATGGATCCCATACATATCATTAAAATTTTTCTTTTAAATTCCATGACGTATTTGGAATTTTTTTTTTTTTTTGTTTTTATGAATATCAATATTGGTTTTCTTTTATAATTTAAAATTCATTATAAACAATAAGATAATATTTGATGAATCAAATACAGAGCAGCGGTGATTTGTATTTAATGACGATTGTGAAAGTTCAATCATTTACTTTTCCAACGGTATTTTATATACTCCAGCAAATCATTAACTCCTATCGCCAGGAATTAAAAACATAAATTTAAAAAATAAACATAATTAATGAAATAAACTGAAATGTGATAGAGAGAAATAAGAAAAATTCAAACATAATTATAAGACTATTCATAATAAAAAATAAAAGTAGATAGTCAAAATAAATAAAACATAGTGATAATAGATAGGAAGAGCCGTAAAAGAAAACATGAGAAAATAAAAATAAATTAACCCTTTGCCAAAAGTGAATGCCAAAGAAAAAATAGCTATATCAACCAAGACAAAAAAAAATTAACTTAATATTTCTAAAATAAATGAGTAATCATAGACGTATAACTAAAATAATAAAATTAAATTAAAAACAGCTCTGTCAAATGGGAATTAACAAACTCAAGAGTCTAATGCGGCTTGGTAAACTTCAATACAAATAAGAACAAAGCGCGCTTGATGACTAAAGTGGTCGACGCCCCCGATCCTGGTTCCTTTGTATCTCGGTCAAGCGAAAGGTATATCTGTTTTATTCGGATCTTTCATTACAATTGAATAAGTAAAAGTGATAAATTAAGGACATGATATACCACATATTTAAGGAAGGGGGAGGGGGGAGGAAGAGAATGACTAGTGTCCGTACACTAATAATTTATCAATGTCACGGTTGACAAATTATCCTATAACAAAAACTACTATGATTATTTTTTTTTTATAAGTAAAATGATTTGAAATTAAACCTAATAATCCTGGCTAACAAGACATAGTAAATATTTACTTAATGATTAAATAAAACTACGTTTTACGTAGATCCCGGCAAGTTCAGTGACGTAAAAGTCCTATTTTTAGGTAGAGAAAGGCATGGCAAGATGGCTGTCTCGAAGAGGAAAATTGTTAAATAAACATGCTAGACGTAATATGAGACTAGGAAACCGACTGTATTACTCTCATTTATAGGCAATTTAAAAGTATTTATCTCCTACCTTCATTTCACGTCCAAAATTTGTAGTAAGAAAAATGAAAATTTGACAGGAACACTTGTTTGCTGTTATAATGTTGTATTGTTAGATATAGCCCACCAAGCCAATCACCCTTTGGAACATTTACGCCGAAAATAAAAGTAAATAAATAGTAAAATAAAAATAAAACAAATAGGTTGTGAAATACCCGAATGATGAAGGTTTATTACATTTTAAAACGTTGAAAACATTCATCATTTGAGCAAGGTGTAAATAAAAAAAATATATATATTGAGGAAAAATAAAATGTTCATCCCCTAAAGAATTCTGAACAAAAAAATTACTGCACCTTTCTTGGTTGATAACATTAACCATGCCGTTAGGAGGCGATGCAGTTTCACTTTTAAGGGCCATTGTCTACTCCGAACGTTAGCCCGGGGACAGAATTCAGATGAATTGTCTTACTGAACACTTATTTGGAGCTGCAATTACACTAATTCTTTATTTTAAGTGCGTAAGAGTAATAGAGAGATTGGCTTAGTGATTATAAATTAGATAATTAATCATTCTTCTTAATTTTTTGGTCAACCTGGATATTGCCTCAGCTTCCCTACTCTGTTCACGGCGTACACTTGATTCAATATGGCGACAAGCCACATCAGCTCCTAGAACAGGATTGTGACGTCACTACTGGGGTGGGGTTACATCCAATAAGAATGCAGCACTGAAATTACTTAGAATTTTCTTATTTCAACTAAAAACAGAAAATGCACTCATCGATCAATGATTAATAATTATTATACTGATAACATTAAAAGTAGAGTTATGTTTAATAATATTAACGAAATTTAATATATCAACATTGAAAATGAAATGGTAGTATTTAATTTAATAGTAAACATTTAAAATAGTTTTAAGGTTCAAGGTTTAATTAGTAGCGGTATTTAGTGTAAATACACTTCAAAAAATATTTTTTAAGAAAAGAAAATACAATTTGAATATTATCAATCCAATAAATGTAAATTAAATCACTACAAGACGATTTATTAAAAAATGGTAATATAAAAATAAATAGCAATGAAACAAATCTAAAAAATAAAATAAAAATAATACTAATAGAAAATAAATCTAAAAATTGTCATTAATATATCTCTAGGCTTAAAAAATAGCTTTAAATAAGAAAAAGTATAGCAATATGAAAGACCAAATACAATTTTCATTAATAAAACGTATATTACATATTATCTGTACTTATTTACAAAACATATATACAAACTTTATATTTATTACTATTTCATTAAAATAAAAATATGAAACTAGATACAATTTTCAGAATTCTCTTTAACTATATCCAAATCTTCCTCATCACAGTCCTCATTTTCTTGTTCTTTTTCTTCCTCTTCATCCTTTTCTATTTGGACCTGAATACGAGTTTCACCAAATTAATGCAATAGGTTCACAATAATATTTATTTTAAGAATATGATTAATAAATGAATGAATCCATTTACTTCAAAATCACAATAATGATAGATTTTTTATATAATGATTAAATCCATTTTTTCCCAAAAAAAAAAAAGCAATCAGATTGATGTATATTTTCAATCATTAGTGCTCAAATCCACAGCAAAAGTTCCAAAATACTATTAAATGACAATAATAAACTACAGATGGAGATTCTCAAAAATGTTTCTAGTAATTAAACTATGCAGTTTTTCCCCGTTATTTATTTACTTTCATTTTGCTTTGACCACAGGTAAACAAACTACAAATTATGAGGTAACCCTTTTGCAGAAAAAAAATTGTGAAATTAATTCATTGTTTGAAAAAAACTTATTTATTTAGTAAGTAATAAAACATCTTCCTGGAGTCCAAAGTTTTAATATTTAAATAATAAAATTCAATAAAACTTTTATCACAGCCAATTTTATTTTATTTGATTCATTACAAACACTTAGGAGTATTAAAGTATTTATTTCATTTACTAAAAACAAAACAATAAAAATGAATCAATTTTATTAGTCTGATTTTCTCAATATTAAGACATCAGATATAATTGTAGATATAATTGAGACAGTGACTAGAAAAAGAGCAAATAGTAAAAAAAAATTCCTTTTTCTGTCTGCCCGTAACCCTAGCAAAATATATTTCTGAAATCCCAGTTTCCATTCAACATTCCATAAATTAAGTGCTTCTGCAATTATATATTTAATTTATGTATTTTAGTATTTCCTTTGTTTATTAGATAAAATTATTTTTAATTGTATATGTCCTGTTTCATAGTTATAAATACGGATTCTACCGGCGAAAAAGGTGTTAGAAATATTTCTGTGGAAAAAAATGGGGTACAATTTTTTTTGTTTTCATGTCAATCATCGCAAGTTAGTGGTAAAACACCTATTAGTCATGTAACAATGTGTACTACTTGAAGTATCAACCAGATTGAATTATATTAATACCAACAAGGAAAATTTAACATTGAATAATATCTCTTTCAAGTTTTTAAAATAAATCTATACTACATAGGTCTTTCATATATTGTTGATTGACGATAACCAGAAAAATATGGCAGAAACTTTTATCATTATTTAAATCAAGACAACAGAAATTAGAGAGGACAAATGTTTAGAATTAAAAATGGAATTAAATTTTGATTCAACCAATTAAAAAAAAAAAAAAAGATCATTTCTATATTACTACTGGATATATAAAACAACGGTAAAACATTTTTGTTTCCAAAAGACTTTAAATAAAAAAGGTAGTACGTAACAAAGTAAAGCCAAAAAAATCACTGTATCAAAATAATAATTAAACCGTATGATCTTAATTTAGTTTCTGGTACCACAAAGTTTTTGGGTAAACAATTTATATTTTTTTAAATAGAAAGTCAATTGTTGAACAATTGCATTTATAAGAGATATATTTTGTTTCTAAAAAAAGTCAGCATAAATCTAAACTTTAATGTTCGAAGTGTCTAACCACACTTAAAACATGAGCAATAATGTAAACATGCTCTATGAATATAACAAGTATCTCAAGAAATGGCATATATAAATCATTAGAAAGGTAATGTACACTGAAATTACAAGGAAATACACAAGAGGTTAACCAAGATTCAGATTAGAATAAGCTTACACTTTATACCTTAAAGTGTAAAATACTTTAACTAAGGTTTTAATGGGATTCAGTAAAGCAGTGGTCAGCAAAGTGTGGCTCCAGAGCTGCAAGTGGCTCTTTGGCTCCTTAAGTGCGGCTCTGGCACAAATATCCATGGAAGGTGCAATAATATTTTCATTTAAAAAAAAACTTGGTAAGAAAATAATTACATCTTATTTTGATAAATTAAAATTCTTCTATAAATCGAGAACATGTATAATTTTTTGTTTAAGTTAAAAGATAGATAAAACCTGTACCACTACAAGCCATGAAGGGTCTTGGGTTCAGTACTATTTAGAGAAAGCACTATTTCTGGGTCAACGGTTGTGCAAGGAGGTGATGTGACCGAGATCACACTCAACCGCCAGGTTTTCTCCCTTAATTAGTTATTTAATTAAGGGTACCCACTTTATAGAGGCTGGGTGTGCCCCAGGAGGGTCTCCCAACCAGGGTCACCCCACGGCCAATGAAACAGATAAATGAATTTTCTGCCATGAGCCGGGTTTCGAACCTGCGGCGTACTCCGGTGTGATACAAAGGTACCACAAGCATGCACACGCATACTTTTTCTAAAGTAGTGGGGTACAAATTGGCATCACAGACCAGCAGTTGCATTGTGAACAGTTTTGTCTTACCTACCGTGTTTGCTGTTATCCTGTCTTATTAATCAATTATTATTAATAAAGCATTTATCAGCAGGTTTCAGGAATTTAAAAACAGCAGAGCAACTTTAGCATCTGTCAAAAATCCTCTGAATGATACGATAACAGAGTTGAAATTTTCACCTTTTGAAATTTACATTGGTATCTTTGAAATACAATTGCTGAATTTAAAAAACAAGAAGATATGGCGCTCTAAATTCAAACGTCTTTGTGTTGAATTGGAAATATTGGAGAAGAAAAAATGTGATCTTAGTTCACAACACAAGTGGTCTGCTTTGAATGACCTGGAGAAGGAAGACATGATCATTTTCAAAGCTTGGAATAGTATTCCTGACTCTAAAGATCAGCTGAAAAAGCTCGCGTTTGTTGTTCTTTCCCTTTTCGGTTCTACATATATATGCGATCTTTTTCAATCATGAACATTATCAAGAGTAAACTAAGAATTCACCTTATTGATGAGAACTTCGAACCATGCATAAAATTAAAAACAACATACAAACCTGACTTACTCAATCTTTCCAGGGAGATGCAAGCACATTGTTCAAATTAATAAATATTTATTAAGTATGAAATTTAGTTTTATTTACTGTACTACTTATTTAATGTAATAAAAGTTTACTAAACAAGCAGATTTGGCTTCCAGTTTTTTTTTTTAATTGTTATAATATTCATATTTGGCTCTTTGGCTAATAAGTTTGCCGACCACTGTAGTAAAGGGAGGATTGTTGTTAATACTTGTAGAACTAAAACTTCCCAACTATTTAACTTTATACCATACTTCTATGCATTATTATTTTTAGTTTAGTTTGTTATTATCATAATAAAATAAAATTTAAAAAATTGCTTGCTTAATAATCTGTATACAAGGTTTAAGCATAGAGATGTTTGTCTTTACCTACAAAATTATTGAATGAATCATAAAAAAAATGACTGATTTTGTTTTTTTCGAATATTGCAATTCTTTGATCTTTTTTATTTGTTTTTAAAGTGTAATTAAGGTTGAATTAACTTTAATCACTAAACTATGCTAAATAAATTTCATTACATTGAATACCATCAATGAACTCATTTTGTCTTGAGTTTTGCCTTGGCACTCAATAAAACAACATGACACTAAAATTTTAAACACTGATAATGTGATGCCAGTACTTAGAAATGCAAGTTCTCCATTGCTAAAACAACCCGTTTAGTGGGGCAATTAAAACAAGAGCATTATCTTTCTGAATTGGCTAAGAGCAAATGGTTCTGGCAATTTTAGACTGGCGACTTTAGCCTCAAGAGGATAGAGGCTACTCTATATCCTTTGAAAAAATCAAAATTCAATAAGAAAGCTCTGTAATAATAATAAAAACCTGGGAAATGGAAAGAAAGGTTGGAGTTTCCATTTCCATCATAGATTGTGGATTGTATAACTTAGAACAAGTTAATTGCACATCAAAAGTAGTTCTCTGCATGTTAATTATGATACTGAATATAAATTTGTCAACAACTCTTTAAAACTCAAATAACCATCTTTTCATTAAAAGAATTGCTAATTATGATGAAAAGTGGCATTATTAAAAATTTTAAAACCACGAAACTATGGTCAGACTGCAATCAGCCTGCAACACCTGTCACTAAGCAAACCTAATAAAATATTTTTAAAAAAGGCAATAAGAATTTTTGAATTACAAAGGCATAATTCATGACTAATTCACTTCAGAAGGGATCAGAACTTTATAATAAAAGTTACAAAGAATTATGATATCGTGACTCAGTGTTACCCAGCAATAATAAAAAGAAATCAGGTTTGGGTTCAACTGAATCATTCCTAACCACACCCTTGTTACACAAAATGGAAAATTCTAAAACTGGATGGGATTAAGTTCCTGACTCATTCTACTTACTCCCCAGAAATATCACTTTATAATTAACACCAGTTGCAGTCAATGGCAAACTTCCTATGAGGAAAATCTTCAATTCCCTGGATCAAGTTCGAAATTTTTACATTATCTAATATACCAGAATGGTATAGTAAATGAATCTGATGGCTATACCATACAACAAAATCATATATACTTCAAATATCTTATCTTCTTTCCCTTGCTCTTGAGCCTTTTGCTTTCACGGAGACAATACCTAATTCATCCCTAACAAATTCATTACACATACAGTCTCTCTTTATCTTTATTAAAATTCTTCCAAGGAACATCATTTCCGCAGCGGTTATTCTTGACATATGTTTCTCCAAAATTGTTCAGTGTTCTGCTCCATATAATAATAACGACAGCAATGTTGTTTTATTTATCACCAGTTTAGTATTTTTATTAATATCCTTCTTGCCGGTTAAAGTATTACTGATCTGGTAGAAGACCACGTTGGCATTTCTCACTCTATTTGAAATTTCTGAATCAATCTGAGTGTCTCTGCTAAAAAGTGTACCAAGATATTGATAGGTATCCACGCATTCCATTATCATTCCATTTCAATTGATATTTAATACTTCTTCATTTCTCTCTAAATACATTACTTTACTTTTTGTTAGATTTATATCCATCCCTTTTTGGATTAATTTCTCTCTACATTCCATAACTGCTTTTTATAGATTATCCTGAGAGTCTCCTATTAGCAAGATGTCATCTGCCAATACAAATGCCTGTACCTAATAAGGGAGAAGGTTTCTGTAAACAACTATTGTCCGCAGAGTTCTTCTCTTGCAGATCTTAAAAATCTCACCCGTAAATGTTATGAAGAGGAAGGAACTTAGACTATCACCTTGCTTGACTTCCCTTTTTTAAGGAGAAGGATCCAGACTCCTTCCCACTGAGACGGAGCACTCCCTTAGGTTCCTGGTAGGCTGACTTTATAGCCTCTATCAGTTTAGGATAAAGGACTTTCTTCATATGTAATGCATCCCAAATCTCTTTACAGGGGACATTATCAAAGGCTGCTTAAAAGCGAAAGTTCAAAGTTCAAGAAAGTGAGGCTAATATTCATCCCATGATCCCAAGCCTATGATCATTCTTAGGGAGAACACGTGAACCATTGTCTGTCTTGAAGGTCGGAAAGCAGCTACTTCAAATATAAAGAATAAATTGTGGTAAAATAAAATTATTTTTAAGTAAACAAGAAAACATTCTTTCTTAAAATTCATTCCACTTTTTACAAATTATCCCTCTTTAATACAAAATGAACAAAGTAGTTTAAGCAAGGAACTAACCATTGGTTTTTGCTTGTGAGAATGCTGATAGAAAACAAACGATACGCCTGACCCCCAGCACTGTTTGAGAATTGGATCTATCAACCATCTCTTTTCAGAGCAATGGTGCCAGCTGGAAAAATCATCTGTGCAATCACTTTCAGGAGGAGGTCCTTTAGTCTGAATTCCATTCACACACCGCGTACATTTCAGCCTGTCATAAAAAACAATATAATTTACTAGTATAATAATAGTTACATTAGAAAACATAATTATAGCCAAATACACAATAAGCATTCTTTAATTGATGAATTAATAAATTAATTGATAAATATTTTTACACATTTCTTAAACAAAATTGAATACAAAAAATAATAATGAGAATTAAAAAAAAATTAAATAACATAAATAAGAAAATTATCACAATACCTATTATAGCAAATTTGATAATTAAAAATAACAGACGTCAAATATTATCACTTTTATTATTGATACCAAGTTAAATAATGTACTTGTGTATATATTGAAAATAGCTTTAGTATTTAATCATACTAGCATTCAAAAGAAAAGTCTGCTTTCCATGGGTATCTACTAACCACAAAAACTACAGATGAAAAATTCAAATCTTTTTTTTGTTATTAAATACTATTATACAAATCTGAAATGTTTTTTTATTTAAACACACTACTTTCAGTAGTATTTTTCAGTAATAAAGAAATTTAATGTATTTCCAATGCCAGACAATTATCATTAACTTACGTAGTTATTCTTAGTCCTAGAATAAAATTTATTTTTCTTCTTCTTCAGAAACTACGGAATCAATTTCAAAAATTCTTTTTTTCTTAGGTAGATCGTTTCTTATGGAAGATTTTATGGTTTATAACATCAAGCAAAACCCCATAGTACCAAAGCAGTACCCATAGATGTTAAACAATCTGGAAAACTTAGGTAATTATGCTAGCAGCTTCTCTCCATACATAACATTTATAGTCACTATAAATAAGGCAGAATGACAGAACCCATTGCCCAGCATTGCAATGTAACGGACCAAAGGAACTAATTTTTATAATAAGTTGTTACTCATTGCTGATTGTTAAAAGGGCAGTTTTCCACTAGAAAAACCTCTAGAAAATTGAAAGGGAATAATTTTTTATCGGGCAATTTTCTTACCAAATAAGACAGTGAATTAATAAAGCTATTAAGCATATATGCATCAAGTTAGGGATAAAACCAGTACATATGTACCATATGCCAGTTAGTTGAGACATGAACTTCAAGGTTGATTAGGTAAGTAATTTTCAATTTAAATAAATCATATTAGTACTATTTAATGAATTATAATTAATGAATATTATTGCTCCTTTCTTTTTTCTCTACCATTTGCAATAAAAGTATATGAAATTGAAAAAATAATAAAAAAATACGTACTTGTCATGGGTATCGCTTTTAGTATTATCTTGGTACATGAAAAGTGATTTCAGCTCGACCATGGAAAAATGACACTTCACATCTTCTTCGCAATCCACAACGCTAGAACTTAAGGCTTTTTTATGCGCCTGTCTCTGCAGCATTTTTTCTTCTATACTTCCAGTCTGAAATTGTCACAAAATGATAAACAGATATATTTACTTTCAATAGATGACATGTTAATTAATAAATAAACAATAGAAATTTATTTATTATAATACAAAACTTTAAATAGGTCGCCCACAATTCGATGAGTGCTTAAGTTCAAAAGAAAAAAAGTAAGAGAGAACAGGGAAAAACAGAAAGATATTTCTTGGATGGAAGTTTTGAAGCTGGAAAAAATATTATGAACTAAAAGGTATATATAGTCAATGGTATGAGCTGGGAGACAGCCATTGCATGATGTATAATATTGCGGGGCTTTCCCTATCGTAACATAGCTCTGTATCCAGGCCTTTTCTTTAAACCTAATTATCTTTGCAAATATGCCTGAGAAAAAATTGGGATTTTTAGTTTTTTTTATTATTTTAACCTAAGGTTCATTGACCAATGAAAATTGAAAATTTATGAAACTATCCAATTCAACTTAAAAGGAAAGGATTTCAGGTATATCAGTTAGATTTTTATGAAACTTTTAGAGATGAATCTAGACTTAAAAATATTGGCATAGTACAAATTTAAGGGAGAAAAGTGTCCCCAAAGTTTCAACAAGAAAATCCAGAAGTTTGCATTAGCCAAAATATAATGTTTAATGTATATCTCTGATTCTTATGAAGGTAGAAAAACAATTTTAAGGCAGAAAAATTAATTTCGCAACTAAATGTAATTGTTTAAAAAAAAAAAATGGATATTTTCTAAGTAGTAGAATTATGTTTTTGGAAGCAACAACGACAATATTGATTTATATTTATATTTTTCAGTATACAACTTTTCTGTTTTTCCACTTTCTTTACTTAACATAAGGGGGCCGGTATATGGTAAGCGAGCTATATTAGTAAAGTAAAGGTTCTTAGGATCAAATGCTAGCCCCTACTTCTCTGTACGGCTGGTCTCCACAGGAAGTTAGACCATTACCCCCTTAATTAGGAGAAGCCTAAAGGTTGAACATACTTTTAAGAAGAGGCTAATAAAAAAAAAAAAAATTCAAAAACAAAGACCTTAAATTTTAATTCAGATATTCTATTTAACTGAGAAATTTATATTTTATGAAATTAAATAAAATATCCACTAAAACAGATAATATTGTATCAGAATAATTAAGGAGCATCATTAATCATACCATCTTAATGTTTTGTATAAGCGATCTATTTTTATAATTAAGGAAAACATAAAATATATTTATCTAAAAAATGGTGAAACATACAGCAATAAATCTGTAAATAAAACAAGGCTTCTTCTGGCCATCTCGCCAAACTCTAGCCATAGCTTGATCGTCATTCGCAGGATTCCAATCTGGATCAAACATAACAAGCCTGTTGGCACCAATCAGGTTCAATCCACAACCTCCAGCCTTAGAGCTCAGCATAAAGATAAAAATACCAGATTCTGGTTTATTAAACTGTTCAACAACCTAAAATGATAATAGATTTGACAAAAAAATATTTATAGAAATAATAAATATTTGTCAAGACTTTACACAAGTAATATAAAAGCTAGTTTTAGCTATAAAATTTAGTTGAAGTAAAAAAATATTAAAAATTTAGAAAATTTAAAATAAGTAATGATTAGTTTTAGAAGATTAAAGTGAGGAAAATATATTCTAATTACAAACGATTAATTTAATGTCTTCAATATACTTACTTTCCCTCTCTTCTTTATAGTCATAGAACCATCTAATCTCACATATTGGTACTTTCGCATGGTGCAAAGCCTTTCGAACATTTCTAATGTTTGTGTATAATTAGATACTAGAACCACTTTGTCAGTCGAAGTGGATTTTATAATGGCTAACAGACAATCAAGTATCATCATTTTAGTAGACAATTCTACATTCAGAGTTTTCCTGTAAAAAAACAAAATCAATTATCATTATCATTATTTGAAGCCGAGCATTGTATACATATTTTGATGATTTCTATTGCATAAAAAATAAAATAAAATGCCAACTTAAGGATGAAATTCCAAATTACAATTGTATGTTCATTTTCAATCTACAAATAATGTTACCTTCAGTGATCAACTTATAAGAAAATGGATATTTTTTTTTCATTTTGTGGCTTTTCATCTCTCCCTATCCTTTTTAAATTTTAAAAACAATATTTAGTTTCAACATCAATTTGTTTCCTACTTCCTTTACAAACAGTAATATTTATTATTATTTCTAATTCCAAAACCAAATGCATAATTTTCATCAAAACTGAAATTTTTATTTAATATTTTTAATATTGTCAATTAGTTATCCTTTTTATATATAATTACCTACATCAATTTATCTTTTGATACTAATCCAAGTTAAAATGCAAGTATCACTTGGATATTTTAGTTTTAATAAAGTATTTCAGAAGATGTTTTTAACCATTAATACTTTTATTTCTCATTTTGCGTATGCCAGATTACGTTTAAAATATTATTATTTTTAAAAAAATTTAAATTTTTACCTTAAACCTTCTTCTTATCTATTGTTTAGTTCCGAACTTTTTATAGAAACATTATTACACGAGAACATTTTAGCTATTTTATTATATATTTAGATGATAAGCTTAGGCTTTTACAATTTTTTTCTGGCCACGGTGGACGGATTTAAGAACTGAAATTTTTGAGAACTTTTTCAATATCTTGCCTAATGTGATGAGTTTTTTCATTCTCTAGTATTCAAACATGAGTTTTCCAAAATGATGACAAAAAGAACGGGGATTTTAAAGCATAGTAACAAACTACTTATACAAGAACTTCTTTCAAACTTTATTAAAATATTATTAAAACAAGAAATATAAAAACGTTAAAGGAACCACAAAATGTTATTAAATTATAAAAAAAAAGTTATTTAAATGAAGAAGTCGCATTTATGGACCATGTGACTGGAGTCTCTCCAGTCCCATCTGGAACAACCCGAATGTGTCCACGCAAGGGACTTGCAGCATTGATACCACAGCTCACTCTTTCTTTTGAGCACAATATGCAGAATTTGTCATCTTTCCCACTGTATCTGAACTTTTGGTCACAACCTTACTCCATATGAACACACGCTTGTTTATACATTGTCCATCACTACACAAATCTTATGCTGAAGAGAACGCACTGCTTTCTGTGATGGACAGAGTGAATTCGACATGTTTCTCCATTTGTCATCTTACCCCACCTTGCTTTATTTTATATTTCTTTACAATATATTTTGCTCCATATTTTAGGAGTTTTAACTGGATATTATATGGCATATTTAGCAGGTTTTTATTGCATAAAAATCAGGATTCTGATTATTATATCTTAAATAAAATATGATTTTGTCATCTATAAATGAATAATTAAAAATATTAGAAACATGTATGCATATATACATGTATGTTCATGAATGTTGCAGATCACAGAGAGAATATTACAAACTAGAAATTACCTTCTATAAGATTCTTCATAACCAGGTGGAAGTTTTGCTCTGGCACCCTGGAAACCATCTTTAGCTTCTAAAACTTTATCCATAACAAGATCTGGATGGTTACACAGTTGTTTCAAAGAAGTTACTACTGACAAAGCAGAAAGTCTACTTGATTTTTCACCATCTTCATTTTCTACAAAAAGAATTGAGTTGAATTAGTTGTCATAATCCACTAAAATTAAGCAGCAATCCTTTGAAAACTATAAAATGTCCCTCTCAATAAAATTTCATTCTTGTTAAGATACATAAGGTCATAATGATACATCTAATTAGGAAAAAGAATCAATTTACTAGAAAATCCCAATTAGATCTAAAAATCTAGATTCCTACAAGGTTTCTAGAAACATTATCAGCTAGGTAAAGTAGTGCGGTTTTTGTCAGAACTGGTCAATTATTGATTGGATAGTTTTATTATAGCGTTATACAATATGATAATTTAGTTCACTAGCTTTATATTGATTTAAAAAAATGTTTATGAGTCTATTGACCACTTAAAGCAGTCTATTGACCAGCTAAAGTATTTTGATATTCAAATATGATGAATAAAAAGGAAGTAAGTCAATCTAATAAAAATATGAATTTTCGAAACATTTAGTCAGCATAATTGTCGGTCCCGTGATTTTTCTCTTGCTTTGTGGTTTCAAAAGTCTCTCAGATTGAAACCCCACAAAAACCCATTATTCAGATGAATATTTTGTAAAAAAAAATATAAAGCTAAAAAAAATTTATAGTTCAACTTGCTTCATGCCATTATCTTCTAGATGCCCCTGTATTCCTCCTCATAACAATGGAACTACAATAAATAGAAAACAAATATTCTGTCATCTTGTAGTTTCAAATAGGAATACTGTTGAAACTTACACAATTTCAGCTAATATAGCTTCCTGTCTTATTAGAAATCAATTAAATTTTATTTAAAAATCTGGATCATACAAATGGAGATAAGTAGTTTAAGAAAGTAGTTTAAAATTAGTACATTCTATGTTTTTTGCAGCTTCTGAAGAAATCATACAACTAATATCTAGTGACTGCAATAAAAATATGACCAGGGACTGTGATATACTGGTACTGGTGGGGGAAACTAGTCCGGCAAATGGATCTATCGTGGTTCTTTTTGCCAACCCCTGATGGCTACCTTGAGGGTGCCGCCGCGTACTTACCTGAGTGGGAATGTCATGATCCATTTCCCGGGGCTGTCGAGAAATGAAAAGTAACCGATCCAGGTGGGAATTGAACCCCCAACATTCAGAATCGGGCACTCAGGGATCCATGCCCAACGTGCTCAGCCACCCCGTCTTCTGGACTGTGATGTAAGAAGTCAATGCAAGAGGACAAACCTATCATGCTCTAAGTTTAATACTTCTTGTTTAGAGAAACAAATAAAAATTCATCTCCTTCTACAAACAGTTTCGAAGATGATAAAGAAGTTGATGAAGGACTGGTATGTATTGGGTAGATCCATAAGTTCTTTCGATTTTTGTTAATACTGCGAATGGTTTTCAAATATATCTAGTTCTCTTTGTCTTATCTGACAATAATGATAGTTATTATTTTAAATTAACGGAAAGTTCATAATTCGCTTTTCGAACCTGTTGTTTGGTTTCATTGGTATTAGATTTCTTTGCGGTACAGCATAGTGAATATGTCAAATGATGATGTACATTTTCAACATATGTTGCATTTTATTTAAAAAAAACAACAAGCGAGCTTTGGAAGCCTACCAAAAGATATGTAAGGTATACGGGGACAATGCCTTAACAAAACGCACTACGAGTCTCGAAGATGCACCCCATCACTGTCGGCCCACCGAGGTTGATTCAAATAATATCAAGGCTCTAATTGAACAAGACCAGTTGCTAAAGGTATGAGAAATTGCGGAGGCACTGAAAATACGTTTTGGAATCCTTCAAAGGCATTTAAAACAGCTTGGCTACGTGTCCCACCTCGATGTTAGGGTGCCACACAAAGTGACTGAGGGAAACAGGACCAACCAAATATCAATCTGCAACTGTCTTCTGAACTTCTGAACCAGCACAAAAGGGACCCATTTCTGAAACGAATAGTGACGGGTGACGAAAAGCAGATCATCAATGATAATGTAGTGCGCTGGAGATCATGAAAAACTGCTGACAAGCTGCCTAATGTCACCCCGAAGGCTGGCCTACATCTGAATAAGATTTTGCTCTCCATATGTAAGAACTGTTTTACAAGTTGCTTCAGCAAGGAAAAACAATTGATCTACTGCACGCAGCTAATGAAATTGGACCAAGCACAGCGACAGAAAGGCCTAGAACTAATCAATCACAAAGGTGTTCTATTCCACAATGACAATGCCAGACCATACTCCGCAATAATCACACAGAAAAAATTAGTAAAACTTGGCTGGGATGTTTTATTACACCCACAGTATTCTCTAGACCTTGCACCATCCGACTACCATTTATTCTGGTCCCTCAAAACTCCCTCAACGGGAAATCATTTGCTGATGAGAGAGATGTGAAAAAGAATCTCAATCAGTTTTTTGCATCTAAGACCCAGATGTATTATGAGAACGGAATATTGAAATTGTTAGAAAGATGAAAAGAGGTCCATTATTAAAAACAGTGAATACATTATTGAATACAATTTATTCTTTTTATGAAAAAACACTTTATTTCATCCTTCAAAAAACAAAAAAACTTATGGATCCACCATTAAATTAAATTTTTAAAACTGTGGGTCCATTTTAACTTTTATGAGCATTACGTAATTAGGTTTAAGTTTTCAAATATGTTTCTGTTTAAATAAACAGTTTTTCTCTGTTACTTTGTTTTGTCTTTTTAATAAAAATAGTTTAATAGAATAGAAAATAACTTTATTCTGGGACAAAGTCCCTTTAGAATAACAAAATAGAACATAATTAAAAGACTACATCTGGCCAAAATAAAATAATATGGCATTTTATGGCAAGAAATATAAAGAATGGTATCCACATCTATATTTTGTTCTTACAAACATGTACATCGAAAAAGATATACATGCACATAGTTCAAAATACATAAATAAATGTAACATTATTATAGCACATGCATGAATGATATATATATATATATATATATATATATATATATATATATATATATATATATATATATATATATACATATATGTGTGTGTGTATGTGTGTTTCATAAATAAAATTAAAATCCCTTTTGGTAATTTAAAAACAAATACCTCCTTAGAAATAACATATAGTGGAGTGTAGAATTACGAAATGTTTTAGAGTAGAGAGCCAAGTCTCACATTAAAAGAAACGGAGACAAAACATATCATGAGGAAAACTGGACAGGATTTTAACATCTAATACTACTTTACTTACTGCATTTATAATTTTATTTTTTCCCCTAAAGGAAAATCAAAATAAAAATTCAATCACAAACAAGACTTTGGAGAGAAACCAAGGGCTCCAGGAATAAATTTTATCGATCACATGTCAAATATCGAATTCACAAGTGAAACTCAAACTCTGCCTATATAATGTATGCAACAAACATTTCATGTAAAGATATTACATAATTATATAATATATGTAATGTTTTGTTTAAAGGAAATCATTAAATAAAAAATATAACTTGGTCGATTAGGACAGGTCATGGGGTAGCATCCCTGGCTGCTTCTTGCTCCTCTTGTCAGGCCTGATTACAAAGTCTACCAATGTATTGCCAATATTTACATTTACCAATGTTTTGACCTACAATGTTTTCAAATGAAATAAACGCTACAATAATATATAGTATGTATTCGTTGACAGCTTCCCTAACCAACTTCTCCTTAAATTAGAATTATGATAAAACTATTTCCATACCATTAAAAAAAATTAACAAAATCAATTTACCTATTATAGCCTTTCGCGCAGTATCTGAAGCAAGAAGATGTTTGTATAACATTTCTTGTATTGAAGACATTTTAATAGACACCACTAACTCAGTTTTGAGAGGAAGGTACTGAGATAGAAGAGCTGAAGTTCTTCTGATAAGACACCTATGACCAATAATTTGTAATTAATAACTTCAATATAATGGCTATAAATAATAGATTGGCAAATTGACATACCTATTTACGATTCCAATAAGCTGTTCCAATCTTTCTTTAGCTACTTCCCGATCCTTTTGAGAAGCCAATGAATCTTGACCACGGAGAATGGGAATTTCATACTGTTTACGAAATTCCTACAAAAAAAATTCAATGTCAATACATATTTAAAATCAAATAATGGTTTCTTCAATAACATTTATATTATTTAATTTTATATAAGTTAATCCAATATGAAATAAAGGTAAGATACTTCCAACTATTAAGCTGCTTAAAATATCAAATACATGAATGGTTTTCTAATAAAATGGTTAAAGTCAAGTTAAATTTACATTCATACTACTTTATATGTCTATAATAAGGATTTTTTTTTCATTTTAAAGAATCATAGTTTGTTCATAATTAAAAAATAAACATTTAAAAAACAAAATAAAATTTTAGAACACCACTATTAACAGTAAAGTTATTATAAATTTTAACAGTATTTTTCAGTCATATTAACTTGATGCATGCATTGAGTAATTTATTTTTGTTTTTTTAATACCTGGGCTGTTCCAAGGATACCCTCATTGACAAAATGAACAAGACTAAAATATTCAAGAAGATCATTTTGAATAGGAGTTCCAGATAACAACACACGTCTTTTGCAATCAAGGCCAGTTAGAGCAAGATATGTTTGGTTTTCACGATTTTTTAGCCTATGACCCTGAAAAAAAAAAAAAAATAGTAAAAATGTGTATGACTTCAAGTTCAATACAATAGGTTAACAGTGTAATTTAAATAAAAACAAAATTTTGATTTTTAATTTTAAAGTAAAGTAATATTTAGATCTAATCAATCAATTCACAAATTTAGATTAAAATTTTAATGATAGTTTGAAAGAAAAAGAAATTCTAGAGAGAGATTGAGAAATGGTTTATTTGTAATAAATTCAGCCTAAATACATTGGATAGCAGCATCACACAGCATATTTCTCAATCCTATTAATTCCGACATAATAAAACAGATACACATTTTGACAATTACATGGTCTTACATGCACAAATAGGCAAAGAACCTACATATCGACCAACAATAGGTCTCCATAGCCTACATGATATTTCCAATGACAATGGGAAGAGACTCATAAATTTTGAGGCCTCAAAAGGTCTTTGCATTGGTAGCACATGTTTCCCTCACAAGAAAATACATCTGGCTACTTGGAGAAAATTTGGAGCTAATGGTAGAATCTCAACTTCACAAATTGATCACGTGTTCATTAGTACCAGACATAGGTCTTCGCTGATGGATGTGAGATCCTACAGAGGAGCAAATGTGGATTCGGGCCACTATCTTATAACCTCTAAAGTTAGAGTACGGATCCCAAGGGCAAGAAGACAGAATGGTGTTCCTGTGTTACGGTTTGACACATCCAAGCTCAAAAGCGAAGAGATCCAGACAAGGTTCACTGCTGCAATGGATACAAAGATTAGGACCATTGACCGTAATGCAACCATTGATAATCAATGGAAAGAATGTGAAACAGCTATGACTGAGGTAGCAAAGGAAGTAATTGGGATCGAGGAAAAGCGAAGGAGAAAACCATGGTTCGATGAACAGTGCAGGATACTAAATGAGGAAAAAAATCGAGCATACAGAACCATGATCCAGAAGAAACACACCAGAAGATATGTAGAGGAGTACAGTGCAAGAAGAAGAAGAGAAACTCACACACAGAGACAGAAGAAGCAGAGAAACTCAAACACAGAGACAGAAGAAGCGACAGTGGGAAACCAAGAGGCTTGCTGACATAGAAGCTGCTTTCAATGAAAAAAGTAGCCGGGAATTCTTTCGAATGATCAATAAAGACCGCAGAGGATTCCATCCCCTGAATTATGCCTGTAGAAAAAACGATGGCACGCTGGTCACAGAGGAAGCTGCAATCATGGAAGTATGGGCAAACCACTTCCAAAATCTATTAAATAGAGGATGTCAAGACGATACACTCCCTAGTGACTTCCTGGAACGGGAAGATGAGATATTTATAGAGCCACCAGACAAAGAGGAAATACATGATGCAATTGGAAGATAAAAGAATAACAAGGCTCCAGGAATCAATAATATCCCAGCTGAGCTCTTTAAACGTAGTGGGGTGAAATAATAAAATTCCTCCAAGAGTTATTGACCGATATATGGAGAGAAGAAAGACTACCTGCTCAATGGAACAAAACGCTGATTTGTCCCATTCATAAGAAAGGGGATGTATCGGTATCTCATAACTAAAGAAGCATCTCTCTCCTTCCCACCGCATACAAAATTCTATCCATCGTACTTTTCAATAGACTGCTTCCATTTGCCGAACAAGAGCTCGGAAAGTATCAATCTGGATTCTGAAAAGGAAGATCTATGACAGATCAAATGTTTACCCTACAAATCCTGTTGGAGAAAACAAGAGAATACCAGATACATATTCACCACCTGTTCATTGATTTCCAACAAGCCTACGATTCCGTAAACAGAGTAGAAGCATATAAGGCAATGGTGGATATGAGCATCACTACCAAACTAGTTCGTCAGGTGAAAATGACGATGGAGGACAACGTCTGCTTTGTTAGAGTGGGCGGAATGCTATCAAGAGGATTCACAACGAGGACAGGTATGAGGCAGGGTGATGGCCTGGCCTGTTTAGTGTTTAACTTTTCCCTTGAGAAAGTTATTAGGGACTCTGGTATCCAAGTAACAGGAACACTTCTCAACAAGACAGTCCAGATTTTAGGATTTGCGGATGACTTGGATCTTGCGAGAAGGACTTAAGAGAAGCTTTTAAAGCATTAGAGGAGTCTGCAGCAAGACTGGGCCTAATGGTGAATGTTGAAAAAACAAAATATATGTGCACCCTACCTACCCACGAGGATGGTGGGTCATGTCTCGATAGGTTGCCATACATTTGAAAGAGTGGAATCATTCATATACCTAGGATCCCAGATCAAGCATAATAACTGCATTGAAGAAGAAATCCAAAGACGGATCCTCTCCCCAAACCGCACCTATTTCTCCCTCCATAAACTCTTGAGAAGAAGTAGTGTGTTGTCGAAGGCCTCGAAAGTGAAAATTTATAAGACAATTATATGACCAGTTCTTACATATGGCTCAGAATGTTGGACTACAACTAAAGCCCTTGAGCATCTCCTTCTCCGTTTTGAAAGAAAAGTGCTTCGCTGTATATATATATATATGTATATATGAGTATATATATATAAGTATATATGAGGGAGGTACATGGAGAAGAAGAACAAATGCTGAGTTAAGAGCGAGCTACAAAGAAATAGACGTATCAACATTCGTAAAGGTCAATACTTAACTCATCAAGACTTCACTGGGCTGGTCACGTCATAAGGATGGATCCAAACGAAGTTCCTTACAAGATCTTAGGTGGGCAAATGTATGGTACTAGGCGGGTTGGACGCCCCAGACTTCGCTGGGAAGACTGCGTGGCTGCAGATGCGAGATCTCTGCTCGGTGTTATGAACTGGAAGGCAGCAGCACGGAAGAGGCAGGACTGGCGGTCTAAGCTTGAGCAGACTATGACTCAACTAGTGGGTCGTAACGCCGAATGAGAAGAAGAACATGGTCTTGTATTGTTGGACAAATCACCCATCCTTCATAATTGGGTTCTTTGCACTTTTCAAGTGGTATTGAATTTACTTCTATGACATACCAAGGTATCTACACCAATATCATCCTAGTAAAATGGCCAGCCCACTGGAGCCATCTAGCCTTAATTAATATAACATAAGGCGATGGAAGGTTTACCGGCCAGCACTTGCTCGACTATAATATATGCATCACAACAATACAGGGGCTTGGGCCTTTTGATGTGTCAATGGGAGGCTCTTCTTCAGCACTGTTCCATTTCCCAGAAATTGGCAAATGTGACAGATCCTCTGTTTCAGGCAATTTCAATTTCGGAGAAGAAGTAAGCAAGTGTGCAGATATGTTAGGGATTGAAGTGAGTAATATGGAAACATCGCTAACAGCTAGAGAAGTAAGACAATCCTTGAGGACAAAGTCCTTAGAGGACTGGAGCAAGTGCAAGTGGCAGGAAATTGGTGTCACAATTTGAAGCAAACCCATGGGTCAATAAATTTATTTATGAGAGAAAGGTGCTCACTGACTCAGAATGGACGAACACCATGAAATTGAATGTTAATTAGGCTCCTCTCGGTGGAGTGTCGTGAATCGGAAGCCAGACTAACAGAGATGTTGGATCCCTCTGCCGCAAATGTGGCTGAGAGTCAGAAATTCTAGCTCATGTGTTGGGCAATTGTCCTAATAATCAAGCTCCTTGTCACCCGCCGGCACATAAATATAAAACATCAAACAGCCAAATTTCTTGAAATGAAGAAATATAGATGTTTTCTCGAGGTTTATTGCATGGATACGGAAGGCTCAACTAGGTTCATCGACATTTTAGAGTTCAATGCGATGGAAAAGGAGGCACTAATAGTTTTTAAATTGTTAAATTTGAAATGATCAGGATCAAAATTTCAGAGTACAGGTGAAGAAGGAGGATATCTATAAGATATGCATATCATACTTAAATGAGAAGTATAGAGATGAATTCGGCGAAAGAGAATTCTCAGTTTAAGGGCTATGGTTCGGAAGCAGGTGAACCATCCTTCTTACTACAAGTAACTTCTTGCAGAGGCTCGTTTTGGAAGAGAGCAGATGCAGACCATGGCAGAAACTATTATTTTAGACTCTTTGGGAATCCTCTATCATTACATATATTGATTGATCTTGGCTTTCGCTTATTAGATCCTGTATACTGTTCTTCGCATATTAGCTGTTGCAGTTGCCCAACCTAACTCTCTTTTGCTTTGCTCTTTTTTAAAAATAGTATCTAGTGATTGATTGAGTATGCTCTGTGATTTAGCAACCCAATGCAGTTGAGGCAGCCATAATATTATTGTAGTTCTCCCCCTCTTATGTTTTTTAAACAATAATACAAACATCCCCACTATTTACTGAATTGAATCATACAAAAACAATTGCTGTGATAGCTGAAAACAATTATGTTCTGTTTGAGAATAGGATGTATTCATTAGTATACACTCTTACTGCAATGTGAAAGGCATAAATAGATTAAAAAGATTTTTTCAAACTTATTTATTTAAAAATTATAACATTATTCAAGTATTTTAGTGGTAAATTATACAAAATACCTACAGGTTTTGGTGTTAGTTAATTACTGGTTAACAATTTGTTTTATTCATCTCATGTTTAGCCGCAGTTTAGGAATTTACAGGAATATTTTTGGATTTTGCCGTTCACAGGCATGATCTCTCTAATCTATCAAGATCTACATAACTATACTCTCCTTCATCATGACAGAATAGGTTGAATGGGTGGTGAGATAGGTCTCTTTGTCGATGGCAGCCTTAAATTCGAAATCCTTCATTGCTCTTCCTTAACTTATTCTCTGCACCTTGAATACCTCTTAGCCAACATCATCGCTCAACTCACTTGAATAACACACAACTTTGTCTCCTATTCTGTTTGCTGTCATATATCACCCTCCTAGAATTCCTTTTGATAAATCATTTCAGACTTTTCTTTACAATTTAATCCCTTCCTACTCAAATGTCATCCTCTCCATAGACTTTAACATCAATTTACTGATACCATCCTCTGATTATTCATACCTAACAAGCCTCCTCAATTCCCTCAGCCTTTGCATAGTACACTACAACCCAAACCATCATACCCAGTTCTCGGAGTCCTGGCTCAATCTGTTTACCCAAGATTTCTCAAACAATCTTCTTGCCGCATCTCAGCACACAGCTCCGTTTCTATCTTTCTACGATGTTATCCAGATTTCCTACAATATCCCTGTCCCATTTTCTTCTCCCCGAACTATATCCTTCCGAAACCTCAATTCTCTCACTCATGAAAGAATGTGTTAAGATCTTGACACTATCTCACTTGTTCCTTAAACTCCATCGAAACCATGATAGAACCCTTACCACTCATCTTCACACCATCTTCAACTGACATGACCCCCTTATCACAAAAACCATCTGACATCCCCACCGGTCCTTGGCTAACACCTTCTCTGAAAGAGTGTTTGAGAGAAAGAGCTACAGCAAGGTGACAGTTCAAACAAACTCGACTTCCTGAAGATTTAATCCCCTTCAAACAGCTTTGAAACAGCACTCAAACTACAGTACACCGTGCCAAATCCCATTACTACTATCATTCCCTATCCAACAGTCACACGGGCTATTCATAGAAAACTTATTGGTAATACACCTCAATCCAAGTCCATTTCCTTTTTTCCTTTTCTGCTGATGATCTCAACGCTTACTTTGTCTCCTGACCTTTCTCAACTTCATTGTATCCATCCTGGCTAATACTTATCCCCCTTTTAATCCTGATCTTTTCGTTTTTTCCCACATTACCCTTGATGATCTCCTTAATAACATTCAGAAGTCCCATATCAATGATTATGATCCCCATAACATTCCAATCAGACTGATTACAGCTGCACTGCCATCTATTCTTCCGGTCCTTTATCATATCTATAATAATTCATTTCAAAATGTTACCTTCCCTACATTCTGTAAAACCGTCCTAGTTCACCCCTTGAAGAAGACCTCCAACCCATCAACTCTTAATGATCTCCATCCAATTCCACTTTTTTCAAACATCTCCAAACCTTTAGGAGTGAGTACTTCAATCCCATCTATCCCATTTTCCAGAACAGAATAACCTCCTGAACCTCCTCCAGTCGGGTTTCCGACCCAGCTATTCTACTCAGTCTGTCCTCATCAAAATTTCCCAATATCTTCATATAGCTCTAGACCAGCAGAAATTCACCATCCTTATTATTCTCCTTGACTTCCCCAAAGCCTTTGACTCAGTAGACCACAACATCCTCCTAACCAAACTTAAAAATATCTCTTTTTCTTCTAGTGCCCTAAATAGGGTCCAATCCTTCCTTACTGATTGCTCCCAGAATGTTGTCCCAAATAATCTTTCATCAGAGCCTTGTCCAGAGGCATCCCACAAGACTCCTTATCTCCTACTCTTTTTTCCGTCTATATCAATGACCTCCCATCCTCTATCCTGCACTGTCAATACAACTTGTATGCCGACAACGTCCAAATTTACCTCTCTTTCAATCCGACCAATACCTCTGGTGCCATCCTAAAACTCTAGGAAGATATTAACAGTTCAACCGTCTATGCTATCTCCTTCTATACATGTCCCATCAATCCCTAATCCCCTTTCTTGATTTTCCCCACTTTGACTATCGTGTACAGTGGACTCTTGGGAGAATTTGAAGCCAAACTTAAACTCCTAATGAATTTCTCAATATGTTTTGTTTTCAGGATCGCAAGAGATACGCTTATTACTCAGTATTAACCGAGTTGAAGTGGCTCTATCCATCTTACCGCGGTCAGTACTTCCTTGCTATCTTTCGATATCAGACTATTAGAAATCAACAACCCTCCAATATTTTTTATAACCTACAATTTAAATTGTAGATCTCGTACTTCCGACCTCTATCCTCCTTTCCACCGAACTGCTGCGATTAACAAATCCTTTATAATTCAAGCCGTCTCCCTCTAGAATTCTATCTCCCCTGATATTCAACATGTAAAATCTGTTTCCTTTTCAAACCTCTCCTTTTTAAACACCTACTCCTTTCCAATTCAAATGATCATGAAATGTACCTAAGAGAACTCTTTAAGTACCCCCACAGACTATTTCTGTTTACTTATGTTATTTTAGTTCGCTATGTTTGTTTTATATATATGTATGCTTTTTTTTTCCTTCTCTCACTCTCTCTCTTTCTTTCTATATTTTTATTTTTAATTAGCTATTATTCTGTATTTATAATTTTTTCTAAAGGGACAACAGACCCAGAATAATAAACAATATTTTCATTTATCCATATTTAATTCTAAATGTCTTTGAATGATGGCAAATGATATAGAGAATGATATAATTTCAATTTTCACTTCTTCTTTGGGATGAAAGACATGTTCCATGTCATTACATTCTCTATACTCAACACATGTACTGCCTCCTTCACTTGAAGTATTCATTGTCTTGCTCTATGAATTTTATTTGATAGTTTGGTTATGGGACACCCTAAGTATGTTATTTTAATGGATACACCTCTTTAAATTTTGAAAAAAGAGAGGAAACATTATTATTATTATTTTTAAACAAACTCAAGATATAGGATTAGAAAAATGTATTGCTTATTTAGTTTTTAATAGAAAGAATTAGAGGTTTAATATGAACTCAGAAAGGAATCTTTTCTCATATAGATATTATTAAAATTGAAGAGATAATCAAAGGACAGAGCACTTTTTAAAAATTATTATTTAAAAAATTAGTTACAGGAAGAGATGGTGAGCATTGAGATTCCAATTCATCTCTATGGTTCGCAATGCTCCCTACTTTGTCACAAATAAAATCATCCATAACGACCTTAATGTACCACATGTTTCCGATTTAGCTCAATCCAGATACCTATCCTTCCATAATAAACTTCTGAACCATCCGAACCCTCTTGTTTCCAATCTTGCTTCCTCTTCTATTCCTGATAACCCTCCGAGGCTTCTGAAAAGAAGATGGCCTCGAGACCTTCTAATATAGAAATATAATTGGAGTGCTACCAATAGGTAGTTTCTCTTCATGTTTCATATGTCAAGTTACTTATTTCATATTTAGTAGTTGTATTTATCATTATACAGTTGCAAATTTCAAGAATAAAAAAAAATCTCTATGGTTGATATGCTACATTCTGCTCTTTATGCTATATTTTATATAATTTCTCTACTGTTCTCTTGATATTATGTTACCCTTTTTATTGCAGTTAATGTTGCACAATCATTAATGTTAATTCTTTATCTTTTAACTATATTGGTTTTATAATTTCTTTATTAGTTTGGTTATTTCCAATACATATTTTAGTCAGATTAATGATAAAGGCCTTAATTTCCTTTCTTTAGGTATCTTATATTTAGGTACTTCAATGTTTCATATTTTTTTTTTATTACCTGAAATTCTTATATCTGATTGTATGATGGCCTATGATTAAGCAGAAACATTGGCATAATTTGAATAGTTTTATATTATTTATTATACAACTGCTAGTTCTCTCCTTAGATTATTCAACTGATTAGAATAGTTAATATTCAATCATTTTATAGATTAGCTACTAGTGCTGGTATTGGTCGTGAAAACTAGTCTGACAAGTGGGCCTTATTCTTTTTGCCAACCTCTGACGGTCACCGCCCCACACTAACAAGAGTGGGAGTGTTAAGATTTATTTCTCAGGGCTGCTGAGAAATAATATTCCTAAAGTCAGGAGGGAATCGAACCTACAACGTATCAAATCGGGCATACTGGTACTCTCACCCGAATGTACCATCACATTCTCCATGTATAAATTGTTAATTATACTTATTGACTTTATAAGAGGGATATATTACATTTTTGGATAAGGCAAGAAGTTTAAATACACATATAAAAAAATAACATAAAAATTGTAAAATGCAGCTAAAGAATTATTATTGAAGTAAAGAAATGTTCAGAAAATTTGTTGGAACACAAATTAATGTAATACAAATACCTCATCACAAAGAACAAGACCAATAGGTGAAGAATGGAGGACTTTGGCATGTATCCTGAATGTTTCATAAGATATAACAAGTATAGGATGGGTGTTTCTGCGACCGGATGGTGTTGACATAAAGTCTCTAATCTGTTTTTCAACTACCTTTGCACCACCTCCCTCAACTGCAATTGTATTAACTCTTCCAGATAGCCATTTTTGTATCTCATTACACCAATTCTGTAAAAATTTGATTATTTAAAAAGAAAAATAAGAAAATCCCTAACACTGTAAAAAAACAAGATGAAAAATCTGGTGTATGCATCATACGACTTAAAAACCCAAAGAGGGCAGATGTAGTGGATGTGACTGATTAACTGACCATTGTCCTATAAAAAGTTAAATACACAATTTCAGTTTTGTATGGCTTTTCGTTTTTGAGCTAGGCTGTTCACACATCGACCATTTTGAAAGAGTTGGTTATTGACTTCGGGGACTTCAAAATGAGTATTTCCATTAAGACTTGGATTTGAAATTTTTCACAATCGCAACACACACCTTTTCTAAATATTTTTATATATAGTTAAATGATAATAAAAAGAGTAAACAAATTCTTCATTATACCACTTCTCTAGTTGTAAAACTCATTCTGAACATCAGAAATAAACTAATGTAACTAGCATTTTCAAAGTTTTACAGGACACCAAAAATAAATTTCAGATTTCACTGGATTCCTTGTTGCGAATAGTAGTGATCTATCTTTTTAAGAGTCCTTTCTCTAATTATTTTAATTCCATACTCTACATTTACTTAGTAAATGCTAATAATTCCTTTAATTTGCTTTTCAATCTATTGCTTATTTATGATTGTTCCAACAAAATTAGGTAATCCAAAAATTATAAAATATATTCTACTATGGTTAACAGTCAATAGATACGATAGATACCTTCACCAGAGAACTAGGAGCAACAATGATTGCTTTATCAATTTCAGGCTTTGCTTGTGGGCTTTGTTTTAAAAGAGTCCACATGAGGGTAATACACTGTAAAGTTTTTCCAAGACCCATTTCATCAGCCATTATACACCCAAAAGCATTTTCTATACGTACTCCAGTAACGCATTCATACATAAATTTCACACCCTGGAAGAAGAAAAAAAAAAATTAATTAACCTATAATTATTCATATTAGTCACATCTTCTGACAATTTTTTGCACAAAACAATAGAAGGATTTTTTTTTTTTGCAATAAATTAATATAATTGTATAAGAAATTAGTAAAGTCTTGAAGTATATTTATATTTTTTCTCAAATATTCTCCTTTTATTTTGTTTATTGACAAAATATAACATCAAGGCATATAAATAAAGCTCAATATTTACTTTCAAATTTATCTTAAATAATTTTACTTTATTTAATTTTACCTTAAGTCTAGTTAATAAAAATATTTTCAATTGAAATTTGACTTATACATGAGCCTTTTAGTTGACAGAATGACTAACTCCAATCTCAACATTTTTGATTAAAGTCATTTTAGTGATATTTCTATTTAGAAAATTTATAACATATAAATTTATAATAGCAACTTGATTCCAGAGTAGGTGATTGGAGTGTTGAAAGATAGAACTATGAATAACAGTAAAAATTTCCCTAATAGAAATATTAGTAATCAAAAATGTTAAAATTGGAGTTAGTCATTCTGTTGACTGAAAGGCTCATATATTACTTACTTCTCTTTGATGAGGTCTCAGAATGTTACTCAAAACTGGATCAACAACTACATGAACAAGCTGCTTTTCTCTAGAAAAATATAGGAATTTCATTATATTATATTATATCAAAGTATCTGTAGTTAAACAACTCTATTTTGAAAAGGTGTCTCACCGAGGAAACCCATAATAGTGAATGATTATTTGATAAATTTCAATCCATTAAAATCAGCAATTTTAAAATTTCAAAACTAACTCCAAAAATTTAGTTTTAAAACAAGTCTTTCAACTGAACATTTTATAGGTATATTTTCTTTTAAATACTAAATTTATTATAATTATATAAGTGTTTGAAATTACATAATGAAGTCTCAAAGTAGCTCAACATCAGTGAAGTATAATGAAAATTTATATATTAATAATCCCATACTTTTCAAGACTTATTCGATCGTGCGCTGAAATTTGAGGTGGAGTGTAAAGAACTAAAGCATTTGGAGCTTCAGGATCATGTAAAGGCCGTCGAACTCCATCTTTTCGCATACCCAATACACGACCTGATGTTCCTGCAGTGTAACCAATGACTGGAATTCGGAAAGGTTTAGACAATAGTATTCGTATCCTGGCTTCCTGAAAAAGAAAATTAAATTCAACATTGGGGAAACTAAAATTTATAAGTACTGATTATGAATCAACATACATGATGTGAGATCTGAGAAGTCTTAGGACTTTGAGAAGTCTCATCATTAGAATGAACCGATGGAGAAATCAATGCTAAAGTATTCCTATTTTTAATAGATAGGGGACTTTTCTTGCTTTTTGGAGAACATTCATCATCCTGTAAAGCTCTTTTGGCGACCTGGCTAGGGGCTGAACTACGTCTCTTAAAATAGAGATACACACTTTAAAAACATTGTTAAGCAGATGATAATAGTACAAAAAATAAAATCAACCAATTAAAATAATAACCATTTATTTTGTCTAATATAAGCTCAGAAATTTTAAGCACACTTGTAATTAAAAGAAAAAATATAACAACTTAATCATTTTAAAAAACAAAACAATTATTGACATTTCATTTTTTTCATTTTAAAAAGACTAGTAACCTTCCAACTTTTCCCGGCAAAAATACTGTTAAAAATTAACTAGGAGGTAGGAAAGGAAGGATATATAGAATAAGATTTATCAAATAGATTTGACTTATAAAAGTAAAAAAAAAACAATCAACTAATGATAACCAATGCACCGTGTGTAGAATGTTTAATCATTATCATATAAACAGAAATATTACTTTCACTTGCCTGAAATATAAATATAAGGGTGAAATATAAAGTAAAGGAAGTATAGAGATTGTGGAAAATTTCGAGTTTTAAACAAAAATACATATCTTGAGGTTCCCTGAAACCAAATAACCAAGTGTCACAAAATGGTTTGTGGTACTGTATAAAGATATGTAAATACATAGATCAAAAACAAAAAGTCGTACTATACAATGATCACATATTTAAGCATGAGATGTTACAATAACGTTTTTTTAGGATTCGTTTGCTCTTATTAAATTCATCCCTCATCTATTTTCTCCAATTTAAATGTATTAATGTTTCTTAGTTATTTGCTATTATTTTGGAACCGCTAACAAACCATAGGGTACTAGTTCATTAGTGCTCAGTATTGGGTGTTATTTTAATACGTTTTTATTTAAATAACCAATAACAAATTTCAATAATTTCTCCACTTAAAATTTCATGATTTTCATTCGCATTTTTTGTTATATCTTGTAAACGAGTAAATGACATTTATTGGCTTAAATTATTTTCCAACATTTTAGATAGATTAAAAGGAAAACAGATGTGAACATTCTCCGAATTTCCAATCGCTTTTCTACAAACATATCGAATTTCCAATTGCCAAAAAGGCTTGTACATTATTAGAAATACCATATTCCCCAAGAATTGTTGGCCTGACCAATGCAGACTCTTCTCGAAATGGATGACAGGATCTTCCTTTCATTCATTATGAGTACTTATTCATCCAATTTGGAAATTGCCCATATCAGAATCATATAATAACACTGGCCTTAACTGGATTTTATATACTAGTTTTTTGTTGATCTACTCTACTCTTGAGTTCCCAGAAATAGCGGTTGGATTTCACGATTCTCGTTTTTATCTACATTGTCAGCAGTCATATACAAATTCATTGATTTCTTAAAAAGTACATTAGCCATCCAGTAGTGGTGTCCATCCTCTCCAAGGTCGATGAACCTACCCCTCCCCTCCTCCCGAAATATTTTATTCCTCACCTTTTCTTAAAAATTAAAAACAGAACAAGCTAAGGTAGAATTAGAAAAATCATAGATCATATACAATTACACTTGCTGCGGTATGTTCCATATTTTCTCCCTTGTCCCTTAGTCCTTAAATTCATAACTCCGTCGAAATTTGCTCCCCTTAAAAATTAAAAAAAAAACCGTCAAAATATCGATGGCCTTCTCCAAGTCAGGATCTAGGAGGAGGGATAGAAGTCGTGATGCCCGATCGTTAAAGCGTAAAATTTAACATTCTCAAGTCTAACGACGCCAGTTCGAATCTGGCCGGGACGGGTTGAAATTTATTTCGTAATAGAATGACGGAATGAATCTCGATCTTGTCACTCTGGTCATACACCTAGAACAATCCCCCATATGCCAGATATAGCTAGAGGAGGATAACGTCTTTTAAAAAAACTTGGTACAGCTGTCTCTGGCTGGTAGTATCCTGTGAGGGTCCTTTTCAAAGGATTACAGGTTCGATCAGGAGGCGATTGTCACCCTGGTGATGGCAAGTCTTCTTGCAGAGAGGATCTCGAATTTTACATCTTAGCTACTTTGGTAAGGCTGAAAATTAAAAACGTTGGCTATGCTTAACTCGCACACTATTTGTAGGAAAACCTGCACACTGTAAATACAATAATACTATGAGGAGAATACAAGATTCTTAGCTCTAGGGATGGTAGTTTGTCTCCACATTGGGATTGAATCAGAGGTGTGATGAACCTATATTGATAAAAATGTATCATCATGAAAACTAATAAATCTGGAACACTCAATGTGAATCATCTATTGGGACCTAATGCTATTGGAAACATATTCTATAAACATAGTGGCCATCCAGAAGATGCGCTGGATAAGATCGGGAAAGGATAGAAAGAAGAATTATGTATTATAGTACAGTCCTCATGAACAAAATCACACATTTGGCACAGGGTTCATTGTCAAAAAGAGATTTAGTTGTCTCATTTTGGTCATCAAACATTAGATAAGTATCATTCGAATCAAGAATAAATAAAAAAATTGATAACAAAATGATAACATCCATAGTAGATACAACTGAGTTGCAAAGAGTTGAATTTTGTGAAATCCTGAAATTAATAAATCACCTGCATAAAAAAGAAAAAAAGATAATTAGTATAGTACAGCTATCATGAACAAAACCACACATTTGGTACAGTGTTGATTGCCAACAAGAGATTCAGATGTCTCATTTTGGCATCAAACATCGGATATGTATCATTCAAATTAAGGCTAAATAAAATAAATGATCCTTCCATCTCTTCAAGATTTCTTTTTCATCTGTATTAATGCTGTAATCTTTGTTTTTACGGGAATTTAATTTCGGTTTTTTTCCTGGGTCAACCTGGGAGAAGCTGTGAATATCATTGTGAATTTTAATCTCAACAAGTTTACTATTCTTACTAGCTTACCTCCTTTTCCGTTCCTTCTTAAACCATGATGTTCTTCCGTTGTTCTCCGGATATGGCAATTAATCATAAGTTTGTAAAACTTGTTTGTTGTGGGCGATAAGTCTTTCACATTCTTCCTTGAAAGTTTTTATTTTGCTTGGTAAGGTTTCACTATTCTCTTTTCATTACTTGTCATGGTTCAACAGATCGTATTTCACGTTCTGAAATAGGAACAAGTAAAAGTTGAGAATCTAGGTTAAATCGGTACCACGCAAAAGATTTCTTTCCCATTAGTTTTGCAATATTGCATTTAATGACCCTTTTCAACATATATTTTTTCACCAAGGTCCAGAATGGAAGAATTTACTCTCTTAATACAATGCTCAAGAGTCTTACTATTGTGAAGTAGTTGCATTCTTGATTCAGTTTTACATTGAAATACTGCCTTTTTTAATGTTATGATCCCAGCACTTATCACCACAAAAAGAGATGAGCTAAGAGTAATTAACTTGTAGAGATTCAGTAATTGGAAAATCATAATTATATCTGCAGCTTCTACCAGACCGACCTAGAAAAAACCCGGGGTTAAATGCCTGGGTTTAAAAAAACAAGGATTACAGTATTATAGAAAGAAATCTTGAATATATGGAAAGTTCACTTTGAGCAGCTACTGAAATTCCAGACTCAGATGTGTCTTTTATAGACTATTCATGATAGAATTTTAAATCTCCCTCTGACCAATCACTCATATCCTCACTCCTCAAAATGATCTTTCCATCTGTCCCATTATTGTGAAGTAGTAGCTTTCACAATCCAGCATACTATCTCAGCGATAATTTTTGCATTATGATTTATTAATTTAATCATTAATATGATCACCAAATATAACCCTTTCCAACTCAGTTGCATCTTTTATAGATGTTATCAAATAAGTTTTTTATTTATCCTTGATTCGAATGATACATATCCAATGTTTGATGTCCAAAATGAGACAATTAAATCTCTTGTTGACAATGAACCTTGTTCATGAGGGCTGTACTATACTACATATTTCTTCTTTCTATCCTTCCAGAGCATCTTCTGAATGGGGCCTATGTTAATAGAATATGTTTTCAATAGTGTTAAGTCCCAATAGATGAATCACATTAAATGTTCCGGGTTTATTTAGGCTCAGAACATTTTAAAGAATTATTTTTAAATCAGTAGTATAGTATCTGCTGATTGTTGAATTGCGTTTATTAATAAATATTATTGATACCACAAATAATTGCTGACTGGAGTCATATTCGATTGAAAAGGGATCTTTCACTAGATAAATTACCACTCCTAGAGTTATGAATCTTGTATTCCCACTGGGCAGGTTTTTTTTACAAGCAGTGTCAGAGTTAAGCATAACCAATGTCCTTAATTTTCAGCCTTACCAAAGTAGCTTGGAGGAGGAATTCGGGATCCTCTTTCCAAGATTTGCCATCGCTAAGGGTGACGAGTGCCTTCTGCTCATCTTGTAAGCCATAGACAAGGACCCTACTTTCAGCTTGAGACAGCTGGAAAACTTTTTTAGAGACGTTATCCTTATTTATCCTTTCTCCTACATTCTGACTTGGGAAAGGCCATGGGACCTTATATATCATTAACTTGTGTCTAGTTAACTACTTTCCCCCTCTTCATTCACCACTAACATATTATTATGTAATCATACAAGTTCCTATATTAAGCGCTAATTCCATTGATGAAACCCATCAATTGTTTAAAACCAGCACCGATGAACAGCAATTTATTTTGAATTTAGGAATGAATGGATGGATTCCAGTGGATTAGCATTACTGAAAGTTTACAAAAACATTAAAAGAAAAAAAATATATACATTAAAATACCTACCAACAGAATTTTTTGCTATCAAAACAGAAATAACTATAGATAAAAGAATAATTAATAATTATAACAATAATCAGGTTACACCAAGCAGGTCCATGGACCACAAAAACGGATAGGACTGCTGATCCATGTATGATTTGTCAAACGATGAATGAATAAACACACTGAATTCCATCGATGAGTTTGGGAATGGTCTAATCCCATTGATCAGCTCAGTGCTAAGTTTCTCAAGTGGAAAGCTTACGATTTTAGAAATATGAATATCTAACATATGTGATCATAGAAAGTAATGAAATGACTTTTAATGTCTACTTTTATATTATTGAATAGAAAATGAACATTTCCATTGAAACTAAATTTATGAGAAGGAGTTAATCAAGGGGTGCGGTCAAATAAATACTAAATTAAACAAATAATAATTATTTAATTTTTGCTGCACCTCCTGATTAACTCCTCATATTATACAGACGGTCAACCACCTCTACATCATTAAAAAACTAAATTTAATATTATTAGCCAGCTCTTAGCGGATTCCAGGGTTTATGTCTTACTCCCTCTCTCAAACAAACTAATAATTGAGTCCGCTAATATTTTCAAGGGGGAGAGGGCTCACGGGTTGAAGCTCCAAAAACTTAATTATTTTTTCATTAGTCCATATTTGTTTCTATGAGCGATCTGAGCCAAATACTTAAAACAATTACCATATGTTCTCTTAGTAAATTACGAGACATGTTTTTCAGCTATTTCATCTAAGCACGTGTAAGGTAAAATATGTTATTTATAAGGTGACTATATTAAATATATAATCTAAATGATTATGTACTAAAGTGTGTACATATTTTATACATTTAAAGTTTATACATGTTTAATTTAAATATTTAAACAATTAATATTATAATTTAAATCTTGAAAATAATTGTTCATTCTATACAGGCAATGAATGAAATAAAGTACTAAAAATTATTTTTATTATCTCTTTAGTCTTAATGTAATATTCCAAGGAAAGGCAATAACAATTAAAGGTTTTATTTTTATTTAATTTATTGACTAGTTATGAACTAACATTCAAAGTTCTGAATTTCACTCTTGAATATATTTATATCCAACCATGACACCATAATTTGAAAACAATCTAAAGTAAACTGTAAACTAAATAATTTTGGAATTATAAATAAATGAGCTCAACCAGCACAGTAATAACATTGATTTAAATGAGTTTTATTAAAAAATTGGATTATTTACAAACTAAAATAAGTGAAAATAACATTTACATTATTTACAGAAATTTCCAAATCAAATACAAATATTTACAACGTAAAATTATATGGGTATTGGTAAATCTTTTGCAACTAGTGCAAGAATGAACTCTGTTGTTAGTCTCCAGTGTTTTATATCTTTAGAAATTTTACACCAATGCTCACCATGTCTAGGTTCTGCAGCTATGCATCGTTTCTTCACATCTTCTTGGGTTTCTTCTGTACCATTGAGAAGCTCAAATTTGTAGAAATATGCCCATGAATCACCAAGATCAGGTTCTATTTTTACAGTTCTGTTAAACCAATCTCTAGTTTTTTGTATTTTATGTTCACACCAAAACAGTTTTGAAACTGCTAACAGAACATTAGGATCATGCTCACAACGTTTCAAAGCATCTACACTTTTTGTTTTTCTTTGTGGTCTTGGTTCTAAAAATATGGCTTCAGCCCAAAGAATTCCTGCATTAGGGCATTCTTGCAATGCTTTAGCCATTAATGTGTTTGCTATATCTCTCATCCCAGCTCTAAATTCAACTCTTACTGCTTCTAACCACAGTCGAGGATTACTAGGATTTTTTAACCTTGCTTTTTCAAGAACTGAACGAGCTTTAGTTAGCTGTTTTCGTTTTTCTTCCAGTCCTGAAAGCATGAGCCACAAAGGTACAGAATGAGGACATTTTTTAATAGCCGTATTGTAAGTCTCCCAAGCTTTATCAGTTTTATTTTGTTGTTCTTCTATTTGTCCTTTCATCATCCATAGTTTAGCGTAATCTGGAAAAACTTTTATAGCTTCATCTAATAATTTCAAGGCCAGTTCGAGATTATCAAGGCACCACTCCAATTTGGCAGATTTCATCATCACCCGAGGAGTAGGAGCTGATGCACGTGCTTTAGCAAGTAGACGTCTAGCTCTTTCATATTCTGAGTTTTCTGATTCAAGTTTAACAGCAGCTAACCAAATTTCTTCTGAGTTAGGATTCGCTTGAAATGCTAAAGAAAGAATGCCTCTAGCAGCTGGTACATCACCTGCCATCCATTTTGATTTGGCACCCATTAACCATAAAACTTCTGATTTAGGACAATGAGCAACAGCTCTTTGTAAAAGGCTTTCCAATGATTCTCTTGTACCATGATTTTTTTCAAAGTATGCTGCTCGGAGCCAAATAGACTTTTTACTGGGAAATGTAACTAAAGCTTGGCTATAAATTGCTCTTGCACATTCAAAAGCACCTTGAGAAGCACAGGATTCAGCATCTTCCATCCAAGTATGTTTTCTGTCTTCTTCTTCAACTCCTTGACCCATAATGGCTTTGATGAGTACCTGGCATGTATGCACTGATCCTCCCTTTTCAGCTTCAATTGCTTCTTTAAACCAATGTTCACGGTTGATTTCAACACCATTGGCGGTAAGTGAAGTTATGGCTCTGTCAATGATTTTTTCTACCATGTGATTATTACCATTAGCTTCTTCGAGTTTAGCTGCAGTAACCCATATTTGCCTATCAGTTGGTATATTTTCTCTTGCTTTATTAAGAACTTTTCGAGCATTTTCATAAGTTTCTAGTCTTGCTAAAGCTAACCATAAATCAACACTAGTAGGACAACATTCAACAGCCCTACTTAAAAGAATACGAGCATCTTCTGGATCTTCTAATTCTACAGCAGCTTTCCAAAGACGAACAGAATTAGGAATATGTTCTAAAGCTTTTCGATAAACACGTCTTTTAGCTTTTATTTCACTTTCAAGATCAGCAGCTCTAATCCAAATACGGACAGAAGTAGGAATATAGCGGACAGCTTGAGCTATAACACCTTTAGCAGTATCAGGTGGCTGCAACCTTGCAGCTTCCAACCACAGATCTTCAGACTGAGGATTTTCTTCACAACCTTTCATAATAAGATTACGAGCTGCTTGTATTTTTCCTGTGACTTCTTCTAGTCGTGCAGAAGCTACCCATGCAGGAGGATGATTTGGATTGGTTTCTCTGACAGATTTCAAGAGCAACCGGGCTTTCTTTATATCATTTATGTCACCACCATAGCTGGGGATCATGCTTTGTAGATCAGTTAGATATCCCTTAGGATCAACAACTGTTTGGCCTTCAACTGAATCAGAAACCTGATTAAGTTTAACATTCATTAGATTATTACGAGCTTGACCCATTTTTCTTAAATCAAGGTCACCAGTTGGAGTTAACATCCCTTGAGTTGCAGTGCCAGGTATAGCACTCATAAGACCATTTGAAGGATCAATGGCAGTGGTTGATTCTCCTCCAAGATTGCGAGTAAGTACTGAATCTGGTAAAGGGGTAAACCTTTCTGCCCTAGGATTCCGTGATTTTCTGTTTCTAGCATCTCCCACTTCTGGAACATTTCTCCATTCCTCTTCAGTAACTGAAACAAGACCTCTTTTGAGATCACTGAATTGTTGCTGTATTTTAGGTCTTTCTTGTCGATATCTTTCTAATTCTTCCTTTAATCTTTTTTCTCTATATTCTTTACGTTTTTCATCCATTCTCTTATCTATTTCTTCATAGATCATATCGGCTTCTTCATCATCTTTGTCATAAGGATCTTTACTAAACAATGAACCTCCATATCCAGAAAATTCATCGTAATTAGAATCGTTTAAATCTTCATCATCATCTTCTTCTTCTTCTTTTTTCTTTCTTTTATTAGGTGGTGCATGACGATCATCTGAAACATCATTGGCATCTCTAGCTGGACCAATATCAGATCTTGTGGTAAAGCCAGTAGCTCCTCTACCAACACCAGCGACATATCCTAGCGGCGCGGGTATTCCAAGAAAATGTTTTTTATTTCTGTTGACTAAAGCAGCCGGAGGAGCTGTCATTTTCAACAAATACCACTATCACAATATAACTAACTCACTCAAACACGGTGTAAATAAAACCTTCTTAAGTTATAACCTTATTTTTCAATACAGATGAAATTATTTTGTAAATATCGATAAAAACATTTTATTTATTTGCTATGCATTAATAATATTTTATGCATTATTAATTTATTCATTTTATCATTAAATTGTTATTAAAAACTTTTATATAATGTTTGTTCCCCACATTTTTTTCAATGCTTGTATGATAATTTAATGGCACCTAAATTTTTTCCCTCCACCCTCTTGTTACCGGTTTACTGCTGGCCATAGTTAGTCGGTTCTCAGGTCTGTTTTAAGATTTGATTTGTTAAGGATTATAGTTTTATTGTTGTTACCCATTGTATATATTTAACTAATAATTAGACTTTCGTTGACGATTCCAGAAGTATAAATAAACCTGTAAGTGTTAACGAATGGCTGAAACATGAGCTGCCATGAAAGTTCTTTCAACTCTTATGGCTGTTAAAATTTCTCTTACCATGAGTATTTTTCAATTTGTCTTCTTTGATTTGAATAATATATATTTAGTATTGGCTTGGATAGATTACTTTATATTTTAATTAATTGATATTATTATGTATTGTTTGTGATAGTTGAACTTAATAGATAGGTATTTAAGCTGGGACTTGGTAGTAATGTAAAAATTAGATATTTAATTTGGATTTTTGCTTGTTTGTGAATCTGTATTTCTTGAGATAATTTGAATTACAGCAACTAGTCAATATTTTAGTATTCTTTTACCACCTATTCTCTAGTTTATCTTTAAACATATTTTAAATGTTTTCTAATTAATTTATCAGTAGGTTTTGTTTTTAGTCATATTATTTTATGTTATAATTCTTTTAGTTGTCTTTTCTTCTAGGGCCTGGTTTTAATATTCATTAGATGTATTGTTGATTTAGTAGTAGTTCATGCCTTGTGTTACAATCTCCTATTCATTGTTCAAATAGAAACATTATACTTGACCTCTTGTATAGAATGGCCATCCTTAACATGGCCTAACATGAATGCCTTCATGCTGTTTTCCTTCTTTTTTTTAGCAACCATTATTTAACATATTGTTTTCAGTTTTAGCTATACCATTCCTATATTAGTGATTATTTGATCAAGTATTAAAACTTTTCCATAAGTTTTGGTTCTATGAGTATTTATTGTTATATAAATGAGTGTGATTGCTTGAATTAAGAAATATTTTTTATTTATTTTTATATTTAGGTTTAAGTTTTCATAATATAGACTCTATCGTTACCACCTTTTATTAAATTTCTCTCATGTATATCATTGCATAGTAACACTGTGCTAAAGGTCTTAGTAGAACTTCATTTCTTTTTCTTTTTTCTTTTACAAAATAGCTTAACATATGCATGAGCTGTACAATTTATTTTTTTTAGTTTTAAACTATTATTAAGTTATAAAACAATAAATATATTCAAAATCAAATATTAAGAGTTCTGCAATTAAGTTTAGTGGTATGCTCTTACTTCTGTTAACATATTATTATTTATGATTTTGTTGAATTGAATCGTCAAAGATACATTTTAGTTTAATGTTAGACTAAAATTTCCATACAAATTTTACTGTTAAAAGTTTAAAATAAGAAGAACACTGGTGTGACTCATAAATACGTATATTTCATCGTAATCATTATCGTCTTGTTGATTGTAGTTATGCAAAAGTCGAAAATTGTTAACTTTAGAGTTGTGCCGTCATTCTTCTAAATTATTAATATATATATATATTCACTTAAAAACATACCATCTATTATGTTATGTTTTGAATTGTACTGGTGTTCTTAACTAGTGAATTATTCACTTGTCCTGTGGTTTGCTTGTATGAATTTTATTGTCTTTTTTATTTATTTTTTTCATATATATATATTTGTATAGCTTTTTTTATTATTAAATAATAAAATTCACTTTTAAAAATGGCATTCATGATTTTTATACATTGAATAAAATTGCATTATTTTTTTATCTGTTTTCAATAAATGTTTCATAGATTTTCTATTTTGTAAATTATTGTTGTTTAGTAGCTTATTTGATGGAAAATATAATCAAATCTCATCTATTTTTTCAATGATTTTATGGCATAATTACATAGTAGGCGATTGTTATAATTTTATGATCCACTCTGTCAAGTTTGAAACCTAATCAAATCTAATATTATTTTTCAATGGTAAAGATATTATATCACCGTTCATTTATTTGAAGAATATTAGCCTTATACTAAGCTGGAGTTAACTGTACCTTGAACACCTTGAAGTAGTTATTTATTTGTGGTAGTTAATTTTGAGATGATACTGATTATACTACTGTGGAGTTTTCAATTATAGCATCCATAAAATTAAAGTGTTTTAGTTATTATGGATTATCTATTACATAACTTAATGAATTTCATACAAATCATAATTTACTCTTAATTAATTTTTATAATATTTATATGTTGAATACCAGATTATTAGGCCATTATTTTTTCTTTTATCATATCGTCATCAGTTCTGAAAAGAGATTGTAAGGAAAATTAGAGATCAAGTAAGATTTATGGGTTCCAATTTGTTGGTGCCCCTCAAGATGAATTCTCAGTTTTCTTGGTTATATTGAAAAGGAGATCCCAGTTGCTTGTTATATATTCACTTGTCCTGTGGTATATTTTATATGAAGTATAAAGATAATTTTATAGGCTGCTGTATTTTATTGAAAGATTTATTGATGTCAATTAAAGTAATCTATGATGACCTGTTTTGCATCCATTCCCATTTAATTTGACATAGATGTATAACTAATTAAGAAAGGTGATCTACAAATATGTCTTTCATTGAATTGTACATTTAGTTGTAATTTTCTTTACAATGATAAAAATTTTGTTTTAGAAATGTTCTTGCCAAATAGGACGGTATGGTTTTCTTACCATTTCAATTAAAAAACAAAAAAAAACTACCACTACAACCCTTAGGGATCTTGGGTTGAGTTCTTGGTTAGGAATTACTTTCCTTTGTTAACTTTGAGATCCCAGACAGGATCTTGTGCTTAGTTATTAATAGTGTGACAGAAAAAATCTTAAATGGCCATCACCCTTCATGGAATTGGACATAAGGGCAGATTTTTTATTCTGGTTGGGGGATGATGGACCATCCTCCCCAAAAACATATCTCAGTAGTTTATGTTATGCATCAAAATTATGAGTGATAATCAACATAATTATTGTAAAACGAATAACATAATACCAAAGTAATAATAATATAATTAACCAATAAAATTATCTTTGAATATAAACTAAAATTTCAGTAGTAAGAATATACGGTGTGGTAAAATACTTGCGTACTTCTACACCTTAGCTTAGCCATTTAGTTTATTATTTTTTTTAATTGATTTTACTTTATATATTTTATTAATTCGTATAGATTAATTGTTAATTATTTTTTTAATTTCCCTTTAAAATATGAAGGGGCGGAATGATATCCTTGCCTCCTCTCTCTTTTTATTGCTGACCACCCTCTCTCCCTCCTCCGGATTATGCATTGGACACCATGAAGGAAGTGGAACTGTAATAGTTCACTTCCTAAGGCCTGATAATTGTTTTGATAAAAGTTAATTTATTAAATATATAAGCTAAGCTATTTAAAGAATTAAAGGTGAAGTGTTGCTTAAATCAAAAATATGTTGGATAGAAAAGAAAAATTACTAACAAATATACACAACAGTAAAATGTGTATAGTTTTCCATTTTAACTTATTGACCATTTAACTATTTAAAAAATATATATATTTTTATTTCAAGATGGTTTATATGCATATTGAGATATGAAAAACTGTTAAATCAAAATTAGAGGTTATTAGACCTAGATTAAGATTAGGTTGTTAGACCTAGGACTCTAATAATAATTAACCTATCTTGTTGCTTAGGTTAGTCTCCACTCTATTTCTCGTGATTAAAGCTTGGATTTCAGGATTTTTAAAAATCCATAGGTACAGTTCATTAATCCGAATGTTAATCATTGCTCCAATTTCATTCTGACTGACTAAGGTCCACTTTAAACACCTAGGTGAGCCTTGGTTTATAATGCCGTAGTTGGTTTACAATATGGGTTATTCAAATGCTGTAATCATATTTATTGGCCTTCTATTTCACTGATGACTGCTATGTTGATAGTTTTCTTTTTTTGGTCAAATATTCTGTTAAGTTTATTTTTTTTTAAATATTCTATTATCCATGAAAGGCTGGTTATTATGGAATTCCCATGGTTTAATCCATTAGTGATAGTACTATCTGCAATGTATAGCAGCCATAGATAATCTAAACTATGTTTTAGATTATCTATGGTGTCAGGTTTAGAACCTACGGTTTCGTTTCTGGAACACCAGAAATTTTTTCAAAGTCTAATAAACAGCAACTTAATCTAAAATGTAATGAATGTGAAGTATAATGTATAGCTCTCTAAGTATACATGCCAATGATAATCATGGGTGTAACTGGTCCTATAAGTCTTAATTATTTTAAGAGATGTAGAGCCTTGGTTTTGTATAACATATTTGCTGAATGACGTAGTAAAATTATGATTAAGGAAGTATGTTAGTATTAAGTTATTTAGTGTAGTTTTTATTCACCAAAATATATTAAAATACAAAATTAAAAGAGGGCTCTTTGTCTGTATTAGTTATGTTATGAAACTTTTTCATTCAAATAAAAAAAAAGAGTTCGTATCTAGTATATTACTGAGATAATTTTTTATAGTTATTTTATTGGTTATACTGTATGCCATAGTTTATTTTTATTTGAGCTTTGGTTAATTGAATTTTAGATCATTTGTTTTGTTGGGTTCTTAAAAATAAAATAATGACTTGTTTCATTAGATTTAAAATTTTATTTTGTTCGTGAGAATTTGAATTTGAACTCAAAACTCACATTTTCTTTGTATTTCACTCAAATTTTAATTAATTTTTAAAAGTGTTGATATGTTTACCGCATCTGAGAATTTTTTAATGATGTAATTGTAAGATTCCAAACATAAATCCTTGAGTTCTAAGTGATGACGTTTACCTGTATTTTAGAGACTCAAAGCTTTTTTTTTTTTTCATCTTCCTCCAAATTTCTAAAATTCTTTTTTTCTTTATTATTAAAAAATAAAAAATTATGATGTGTTCTTTATTCATACATTTTTTGAATAATGGATATTATCCTCCTGAATCATTGGTTTCCTTTGAAGTCCTCTCTCTATGTTGCTGATATGGTATATTTTGATTCTGCAAAAGGTTGTCAGGTTTTATGATAATTTATAACAACTGATAT